GTTTTAAAGCGAGCACAAGTATAGGGTCATAAATGATTACCAAAAAAAAAAGATAAAAATGCTTTCTAGTAGCTAAAACTTAACAAGCTAGACTTGGTTCAAGGTAAAAATCCTTACGGCATGTTCCCAGCAGCGTGGCTAGCCAAATTCTCAGGTCAGAATCTTTCCCCAAAGTCAAAAGACTGGTTCCTTTGTCATCTTAGATGAAAGAGAGAGAGAGCGCTTGGGGTTTTTTCTTCTTTTCTTTTATAGTCCAGTTAACTTTGAAGTGGATTCTTCTGAGGGTTACCCCTCAAAGCAAAGTTTATTCAAACAGTAAAGAAGGCAACATGGAGATGAGGTGGAGAATGAGGCTCCATGTTCTTTCTTCTCACCTGTGTTTGCTGAAATGCAAATTTGCTTTGTCTCTTGCCATCTCCTCTCCCTGCTATCTCTTTAGGACCCTGTTTACTTCTTATATGCAAATTTAGGTAAATACACATTTATTTATTCAGGATACTTCTGCTCTGGCAGGGCTGTGTGGTTTTGAGCACGTGATAAGAACATCATACAGGGGGATTTTGTAACTTTACATATAAATGGTGCTACACACATTTCACCATGATATTATTGACCAGCGAGTTACTGGTTTTCAGATGATACCTCACATGGCAAATTTTGTATAAAGATTATTACAGTAGTGTGTAGTGTCTGACTACAGGGGTACATTCGGTCGCAGCAATGCAGTGTTGTCTGCCTGAATCTGCCAACAGCCTGAAATGATAACTCTGAGAGATGGGAACTGCTCTCATTCATCTCATTGTTAACTCTGAAGTCAGTCAACAGTTTGAATGTCAACGTTGCTGATGGTTTTAACAGAAGCCTCAAACTAGTATGTTTATTTTTCATTGTTGTAGGTATTGTCAGATACTGACGCAGGATGCACTGGGGCAACTATTTACTACCAAAGGTTCCTGGCAAACCCTGCTCCCCAAAATTTACAGCCACCTTTGCCCTGCGCAAAAAGGGGTGATAAAGAAAAGCTGAATACCCTCTTTAGTGCCAAAATAATCAACTCCCTCCTAGTTACCAAAACACCTCCCACACCTTCCTGTGTGCCAAAAGCCCCAACTGTCCCCTACCCAGCTGTCAAAATCTTCAGCTTTCCCCTGACAGCTTCAACATATAGTTAATCACTTAAAATACAAAAATTTGCAGCAAATTTAAATTTGAGAGCAGTGTAAAATAAATTGAATTGAATGTAAAATAAATAACAAGGAATACTGTGCAAATTGGAGTGGTCTGGGGAGTGAGGTGAGAGCATTTGTGGGAGCAGTGCCAGATAATTCCAGGGTCTCTGCTACATAACTTAAGTCTAATATGTTGCATAGGACACAGGGCTCTTTGTACATTAATTGGTCGTCTTAGTTTTGTGCTCTCTAAAATTATTGCTAATGTATCTTTGTTGTTTTATGTATTAAATAGAGGCAGATGTTTTCAATTAAACTTTTGAAACATTTTGTGGGAGTGTGTTGAAGTGTTCCCTGCCATAGAATTTTGGGCTTCAATAATTTTCTTGAATTGCCTCTTTGACAACTACCATGCATGGGTCTTCCCAACAGTGCCAGGATAGGTGGATCGGATACATGAGCACATATATGGGAATGCTGATTTACAGCTAAGGAACAAAATTGTCCAACTGAACAATTATTGCTCTCAGGCACTCTATTGAGCCAGTGCCAGAGAATTTTGCCAGGGAACAAATTGAAGAACAAAGTAAAATGACAGATTTTTAAGACACCTGCTGTGCATTTGTACTAAGCAATGGGCACTTAATCGAAGTAACAAAACTCTAGTAAATAGAGATGGGCCCAAACTAAAATCCCATGTTCAAATCCACCCTCCCGTCAAAATCTCATACCAACCTGTAAAGGTAAATATCATGATAAGACATCCCTACAGAGGAGAAAAGGTGTGCTGTACATATCCTTTTAACGTTTTTAATTTTTTGAGAAACATTCCTAATTGTACACAGCACAGGTAATGTTAAAAACATAGAAGATGTCATATCTGTCATCCCACAGTCATGTGTTGGTGGAGCTTATTCACTAAGATGACGTTTTTAGCCATAAGAAATGTATTTCTATTACAGTTCATTGAATGTAGGAAAAGTTCACAGTTCTTTAAGAATCCTGATGTGTGTTAATATTCTTTATTATCTGAATCCAGCACCCACTAAAGCCAATAAATTCCAATGACTTCAGTTAGCATTAGACTGGCCCTTAGTAGCATGCATTTGTTGCAGCATTATATTACAGTCAGTGAATGGTGTCCACAATGTAAATACATGGATTTGGCATGATCTTTTGCTACAAACTCATTCGAAAGCGGTGGCGTCAGAGCACAGAATCCAGGCAGATTGGGGGGGGGGTGGGGCGGGGAGCCATCTTGCTTTTGCAATGTAGAGTCAGATCCTGCAGTCTCTACTCAGAAAAAGTTCCCATTGAAACCTTGGAGTTTTTCCGGAACAAGAAGAAAACTGTGGATTTTTTTCTACACAAATTAAACCATGACAATCCCACAGACTTTCTGTGGTCAAAAGTGTGCAAAAACTTTCCCTGAAAAGAGCCCTTCATTTGAAAGGTAGTCAAAATAAATGTAGTGAAATAAACTTTTAATGAGGAATAAGGTGTAGAAGATTTCTTGCTACAACATAAATTGGCAGCTTTAACAAAGGTTCAATTCACATTAACTTTTTTAAGTGATCTTTTCTTTTTTGTTTTTAAACAGGGACAAGGATGGTAGGCCCTGCATCTTTAAGAAAATTGCTGGAGTCTTGTAAAGATCTTTCTTTACTTGATGTGTCCTTCTGTTCACAAATTGATAATAGAGTTGTCCTAGAACTGAATGCCAGCTTTCCTAATGTGTTCATAAAAAAGAGTTTCACTCAGTGACTCACTACGTATGCCGCTATGGAATTCATTTGACAGTGTTGTTTCCTGTGAATTTGTGATTACATTTTTCTTCAAAAAAGAAATTAAAATCTTCCATAAAATGGAGGGAAAATGTTAACGATATTCATGAAATGAGTACATACTATGTATTTGGTGGGGAGCTCTTATTCTCCTGTACCTAGTAATTGTTTTCCCTTTGTTAATTGATGGCACTGCATGTGTTTAAATAGCCACATATGTGGCCTAAATTAGAGAAGATGAAAAAAACATATTCTTGATGCCCTTTTAAAGAAAATTTTATACAATAAGATACATTAAAATCCAGGGGAAAGTGAAGTTCTAACATTTAGCAATAGAGAAATGATGGGAGTTTCTCTGTCTTATAGGTTGTAGTGTTTTAGTTTTGGCCTGTGGCATAAGACCTTGTGATCTGGTGTGTAATGTGCTGTTTGAAAAATTGTTTAAGCTAGTGTAAGATCAGACTAGTCTGAAAAGCCACTTTTTTCTCTCCTTTTGTTGACAGTGACTGGTATCTATTTTAAAACTCTGATGTGTCTGCTAAGAGTTTTTTTTCCCCTTCAAATGGATGAAATGTGGCAATGTTTTACAGTCCAGCTTAAATGACACAACAGATAAATACAAAAACCCACCATATGAGTTTATAGCAGAAACTAAAAAGAAAGAAAATTACCTGTTTCCTCCTGTACTGGATATAAAATTTGTGTCAGATACTTCTTGTCATAACTGATAACACATAGAAAACCCAAAAGCATTTTTCTTTTCAAATTTCTGTTATGTCAAGGTGTGTTGACTTGTGGTACATCTGCCTTTCATATGAAGTACAATAATAGTGTTATTCAGGATAATGAAACTCTTCCTTAGTTGGATACATACCTACTATCAAGTTTAAAAACAAATATTTGGTGTTCAGTAAAATCATGATGAAAATGTTGAGTTTGTAAACCAAAGGCAATGTGATTTGGCTACGTCAGGGGTAGGCAACCTATTGAACGCGTGCCGAAGGCGGCACGCGAGCTGATTTTTCAGTGGTACTAACACTGCCCGGGTCCTGGCCACCAGTCCACAGGGTTCTGCATTTTAATTTAATTTTAAATGAAGCTTCTTAAACATTTTAAAAACCTTATTTACTTTACATACAACAATAGTTTAGTTATATATTATAGACTTATAGAAAGAGACCTTCTAAAAACGTTAAAATGTATTACTGGCACGCGAAACCTTAAATTAGAGTGAATAAATGAAGACTCGGCACACCACTTCTGAAAGCTTGCAGACCCCTGGGCTACGTACTAATTTATTCTGAGATGGCTTGGGTTTTTTTCACCAAAAGAGACAATATCTTTGATAATCTAAACTCTCTTAGCTGCTGTTAATTCTTTGGGGGAGAGAGATGATGATGATGGTAGTGGATGAATGGTTTTCTTCTACTTTTTGCGCTTCTCTGAATGAGACATTCTTTCCTCCGTGATGGCACCAATGCTATTGTGAATTGGTATTTACAGCATGTACTCATATTTGCATAACTCCTGTCTCTTTAGACCCTACTAGTGAACACAGACCCCCAGACATGATCTCTCATTTGGGATCAGCTCCATTATTGCCACCTTTATAGCAGATGCTGTACAATGTTTCTTCCTGTCCATTGGAAAAATAGGCATAACATTTTGCGTGGAAGAAGGCCATCACTATACAGAACATCATCAGCAAAGAAAATGTAAACTGATGCAGTAAATACCTGTCCACTGGAAGAGAAGTGCCTCAAAGCATCAATGAACCAGTGACCTCCATGGACCTAAATTAGCATTTCTGAACTCTCCACACCAATGCCAATGTTTTATAAATCATTTCGTGAAACAACTAAAGACCATTTTTCTGCTTTTATAAACCTCTATTCTGATTTAAATTGTACAGAATCTTGTAGAAAATTCCAAATCCAAAGAAAAGTGCACAGATGTCTGTCATTCACGCACAGATGTCACCATGTGATTTTCAGCTAGGTGCCTCCATTCTATTTGTCTTTCAGGGTACTGGAGCTACTTAGACATGTTTCAGTCTAGACATCTCTTCAACTGACAGATGTCTGCCCTAGAGTCATTCTGTGCAAGATCTCATTTTATTTTGGGAGTGCTCACTTCTTTCAACAAAGTTTTTACTTTAAACTTATTTTAATATAATGTATTTACAATGTATTGAATAATGTCCAATGTATAATGTAAACTTATTTTAATGTAATGTATTTACAGTGTATTCATTGTAAATGAGAATTAAACATTTATGTCCCAGTTACAGAAGAACTCAAGTTCAGATTATGGGTGTTTACAGATATTGATGTTTTAAAATAAGTATCGTTTTTGTTGTGAAATTTCACTCCTCGGGGTGCATATGAATTTTTATCTTTATTTTTCTTTAAAAATAATGTTTTTATGTTTATAATTATAACTAGAATTAGATTTGTTTAGTATAGATGTAGTGGTATATTTTATGCCTTCCAGAATACTAAAGTAGGTGATTAGTCTAGTCTTACTTCTGCACATAGGAATCTTTTAAAAGATAACATGTAAAGCTCAGGGGAGGTTATCAGTCTTTTTTGCTTCATTATGAAGTATAAGGAAGGTCTGATTTGATTTTTGTTTTATTTCTGTTCTGTCTAAAGGATCTATTTCTGCTTGTCCCTTACATTCAAATTTCAGTGTGTGTCTGGAACACTCTGCGGTGACTGGAGATCTCGTTGGATTATGTTATCACACTTTCTGATAAAGTGGAACCTAATTAATTAAAGGGAAGTGATTTTTTTTTCAGACTGTTTAAAACTTTTTGGGTTTGCTAACACATATTTAACTTAAATAATTGAGAAATACCTGGGGAAAAGGACATCTTTGTTTACAATTTGATACCCTTACTCTTCAGTTAATGGCTGAAGCACATTTTTATATCTCCAAGAAGTCTTCCAGCAAAAAGAGGGGACACCAGACTTGGCATTCCTGATATTTCTAAGGTAAAAAGCAAGAAAACACTTTCAGGCCTTCCTTATACATCATAAAAAAGCAAAAATAGGCTACAATCTCAATTTTAATTGAAGTTACCTCTTAGGATTTTATTATTGATCATCTTATTAAAAGTTGTTCAGCAGATTTTTATTTTAGAGTATTTCTGAAACATTGAAATTGGGTATAGAGCCTGGTAAAGCTTTTCAACCAGCTAGCTACTGAGAACAATCTAGGAATTGCTATTATAGTGTCACACTTTCATCATAATAGTTAACACTGTCAGCATTTCCATTGTAAAACATTATTTCACTACACCTGGGGACTGGAAAACACCTGGAATTCCTCTTTATCCACAAATTGAGATCAACCTGGTCAACAGTTGTGCAGACTTCCCATGCTACTTTGCCAGTGTGCTTCAGGGTCTGTCTACATGACTGCTACTCTGGAATGAATTAGGGTGTTAATTTAAAGATGAATAGCTATTCCAGAACGTATTTCTGACCTTACTGTGTGTTAAAGATCCATGCAACCAAGTGATGATGCAAACTTCTGTAAAATGCTCAAACTAAACAAACTGGAAAACATAGAAAATACTATATTTGTCTTCTAGTCTGTCAGTTTGACATGTATGATTTCTATAACAATAGCAGAGATGTGATATTTAAGTTAAGTGTGTCCCTACAATCAGAAACATTAACTGTTGTAAAGTTGCAAAACCACGACTGTGTGATCCCATGACCCCCAGGACCATTGCGTTTTAGTACATAAATAACTCAGTATAGACCTCTTAAAGGGTAACCATTCTGATCACTTCTGCAGGATCTTTAAATCTACTAAAGTAAGATAAAATGTGGCGCTTGCTGCTAATACATAAGGTTTGTCGTTTTGGTATGTGTATTCATTGCTACTCTTTTCCAGACATTAAGAGAACTTTGCTTTCAGATATACTCCAGCTCCATATTAGCATGCAAAAAGTGTTCATATTTTAATGCACATGTAAATACCACATTAAATACTTTAAACATTTTCATAAGGAAGGTGGTTGGTTTTAGGACCTCAGTAACTTTACCATTGAGTTGAAAATGTTGAAGCCATCTGTGTACTTGTGTTAGTTGTCATGAGAGCATGTGCATCATATGTTCTTTTATGAGGTGGAAATTATTAAAGATGCACCTCAACTCTGCCATACATTTTACAATTTTTAAGAGAAATGTTACACCCATTTGACCTTTTTAAGGTTCTCAAGTTAATTGAAACACACTCTTAGGGTTTTGAGCTACTTAGTTTTTCTTTAAATATACATCTTATCTGAAATGCTGCCATCTTGTTCTGCTGTGAAAAATATAAAATTTAAGCTTTTAATTTGTATTTAATTTAAATTCCCATTGATTGTGTCACTGAGGGTGAAGAGGGAGCCTATTAATTTGCACATCTTTGTTTGTGTCTAAATTTCTACCTATTTGCCAGAATTGATATTTCTCTTTATAGATGAAGTGTAGAGAGGGAGAACAGCTGCATAAAATCTTGCCTCATTGGGTTTCTTTTAATCAGAATCCTAAGAGCCTAACGATTTCAGTAATTACTTCTAAAACTAGCCACAGTTGTTAAATTAAATTGTAATAATTGTGTTACCTTGGGGGCCAATCATGGAAAAGAACCGTGGAAGACCAAATGGGAAGAAATGTGGTTCCACTTTGTAGGGAATGAGAGGGTCGTTACCCTATTGCTCTACGGCTAGGAGGGAGAAAATATGGCCAGTAGTAGATTCATCACTCTGAGAATCTACTGGTCAAACACCTTTCATCCCATGGAGGATCAAAACAGAAGCTGTGTTTGCTGCTGCTATCCTGAAGCTGCTGTTGAGCAGGTCCACTAGTACTTTGCAGTTTGTGAGAGAAGAATTCCATCCCTACCACCATACAGAATCTCTTCACAAAGCTCTTATCTGCAAGAAGGAACCTGCTAGTCTGGAATGAACTGTTCCTCATTTCCTTGAATACAGCTAGCTCTGCGCTTCTTGGTAGTTTGCACTCTGTTCCCCTGTACCAGTCTGTCTCTATCTTATGGGTGAAAGAGATCTCTACTACTATGTAGATCATCATGATGGTAACACCTTTAAAGAGAGAGAGACAGTGACACAGGACCTGTGGATTTGGCATAGTCCCTTTCATGGCTCTGTCTATTGCCTGAACTCATCCCCTATCCCAAAGAAGTGTATTTCTTCTGTTGCGACCACCATCTCTAACCAGGCAAACTGACCACTGGTTCACAGGACCAAAACAGGAGGAGAAGGTGCACTCCGGGGGGCTGAGAACTCCTTTTTCATCCCAATTAAACCCATCTATCAGCCTGCTGACCTCTGCCTTCCAGGAGGCCTTCTGGGACATAAAAAGATTCTCTTTTCCCTTCACCCAATCTGCTCCTTCCTCAGGAGCCAGGAATAGGTAAAGATACCTTCTGTATATTTTAGGAGACTTTAGAGTACCCTACACCCTTCCTTTTGTCAAGAATGTACAAGCAAAGGTCCAGGAAGCAACACTATTCTCTCTACCCATTGTGGGTGAAGCAGGAGGTTCTCTCTCACACTGAACATCAGAAAAGATGCATTTTAAAGACCATAATGAGAACATTAGATCTGTTATCTAGTGCAATGGATTCCATGCTGAACAAGACACAGATGGCAATGATACCTGTCCTGAGAAACTTGCAGTCTAAAAAGACAGCCCCCAAAAATCAGACTCACTTGTTGAACCTAAAGGAAGTTTCTGTTAAAGTTTTGAGGATTTTTTTTTTTTTTTGGTGAGAAGCAGCACTTTTTATTGGCATAGGTTAACATGAGTAGATATTTTCTGATAGTATTATGCATAAAACAATTTGATAAATTACATGTTTCCAGTATACTGCTCTGTAATGTGCTAAAAATTACCATAATTATGTTGTACAGTAGGGTCATAGTGTCTCTATATAATATGAAACTTAGGCCCAGGATTTAATATAGAAATCCTTATCTTTGTATACTAGTATTTTAAACCTGATTGCGCTTTGTATGT